ATAGGTCTTGCCTAATTTTCTTGCAGGTGGGTGTCCAGTGTTACCTGCACCACTTGTCATAGAGCCCCTTTATACGCTACTGGACATGGCATCTTGTGGAAAATCACTTCTCCCTAGGCGGCTTGGTTTCATTCTGGTTCTCAGTTCTCGACCGCTGGTCTACAGAACATGACCTTTAAACGCTGTTATCCTTCACTCACCCTGGAGCTCTGAGAATCAGCCACGTAAACAGTGAGAGCTGACGACCCACCCTCCGTCCCAAAGCCGGTCACCACGAGTGAGCTGTTCACTCTGGACCCTTGTAGATGCCCTGCCAAGCTAGTGATGCCGATTCTGTGCCTGGTCTCCTGTGAAGTTTTTTTAAAATCATGAATTGATGTTGCACTTTTCAGTGTATTTTGGCCGTCATTTGAGAAGGTTATGTGTTTTGGTTTTTCGTCTGTTAATGTGATGAGTTGTGATGAGTGATTTGCAAATACTGAACCAGTTATGTGTTCCTGGAGTAACCAAGCCCCTTGCTTCACCTGTGGAATTTGATTATTTTAATGTTGTGGGATTCTAGTTGATGGCATTCTGTTAAGGATTTTTTTGCCTATTTTAGTTTGGAATATTGTTCTACAACTCCCCTCCCTCAGCTGTTTTGAGCTATATTTGATATCAAAATAATAACGTTCTCTATTTTCTGAGACAGTTTCAGACTCCTTCAAGGCCCTTCCTTTCACTGCCACTGCCATTGCCACCAAGGAATTACCTGTGGGTTTAAACACAGAACACAGAAAAGACAAATGAAGTTTTCCATTTTAAAAGGGAAAAGGTCTATGAAGGGTTTCCCTTCGCTCTCTGGACTTCTGTCGGAGTGTGCTGCTGGCCCCGCTGCATTGTGGGGAGAGGTCAAGTCTATCTAGGGGGCCAGGGGGGAAGAATGAGGCACTCACAACCGATCTGGTGGCACTTTGAATTCTGAACCCTGCAGGTTCGTAGCTGTACTCAAGGGAACAGCTCCCTGGCAGGATATTGCATCCAGCACTCAGTGACGTTTGTTGAAAGACTAAGTGAATGAGAGCTCAGGCAGCAGGTCCTGACCCCTCTCCTAAGCACAAGACCCCCCATGTCTGTGAGCCTCCTCCGTGCCTTCCAGAAGGACTCAGTCATTGCCATCAAGTCAGAACTGACTCATAGCATACCCTCCAGAAGGTTTTCAGAGACTATGAATAACAGAGATTGCCCACCTCTCTCCTCCAGAGCTGCTGGTGGATTTGAACTGGTGCCTTTAGGCTAACCGCACCACTCCCTACAGAGGAGGCTGCAGGTGGGGAACGGAATCATTGAATGGCCCATCTGCACACTTCTCATCTCCGCCTCAGCGTCTTGTCTGCACTCTGGCTCTGTCCTGGCTGGGCCTGGGCCTCTTCCTCCCAATGCCAGCCCGATTGCCCCCAGCTTCCCCTCCGCTGGATCGCAGCGCCCTGCTCTGCTCCCCTCTGTGTTTGCTCAGTGCACAGTGGCTCTTCCCAAGTGATTCCCCATCGTCTCCATTCTCCACCCTCAGCCTTGCCTCTGTCATCTGGTGCAGTGTTGTTGTGATGTGCCATCAAGTAGGAACCAGCTCATAGCTGGCCCTCCAGGGGGGTTTCACAAGCAGTTAAGTGCACAGGAGGAGATTGTCTACCCTTCTCCCACGGAGCAGCTGGTGGCCTCGAACCGTGTGCCTCTGGATTGGCAAGAATAGCTCCCTACCACTAACCCACCAGAGCTTCCTAGGTCTCTGGAGGGGGCTGTGAGGGCCTTGAACGGGGAGGGTGCGTGCCTCGCTGCCCAGCCCCATGAGCTCCCTCGTGACATGAGCAATAGCCTCATCAGGGTGTGTGACCAGTTCTGACCAGAATGGGCTGTGGGCTGGGTTGCTGTGAGGACAGGGCGAGATGCCCTTGGGCCCACTGCTCTGTGGGCGACCACTGTGTGAACAGAGCATCCTTTATCCATGACTCCTGTCTGCTTCTCACTTGGTGCTTTGAGGAGCAGGAGGCAGCCTCCCTTAGTGTGGGGTTCTGAGGGCGCAGGCTGCGCTGACAGCCCCATGTAAGATAAACCACTGGTGCCCGCCCATCCTTCTCCCTCACGCGGCCCTGACTGACAGGCAGATTTCTCCGCACAGAGCAGCCCTGTCACAATGGGTGATGGATGTGTCCCTGGCCAGGGCCGCTTGTGGAGTGATATTTACCAGGGTATCTGGGAAGGGCCTCAGCTCCCATGGGCTGTCCCCAGCCTCCCCCACCCTCCTTGGGTGTGGAGAGGAAGAGACCTGAGCCATTCTCAGGGTCCCAAGTGGACCCTATGGTGGGGTGGGGATTTGTTTAGACCGTGGGAAGTGCCCTGGTTTACCTCACTTCCCACGTGAGACCACCAGCCAGACCCTGTGGCTCTGGTCCTGGCATTTGGTAGCACCAAGGGAAGCGGGTGCCAGCCTCCCCAGGAACTGGGTTCTGTTCTGCCTCTACCACTTGCAGCTCCTTGTTCAACCCCTGGCTTTTCCGAGCCTCAGTTTCCTCAGATGTAGGATGGGATGGGATAATGAGTCACGCCACGAGGTTAGAATGAAATACGGGAATATATTTTAAAAATGTCTTTACACATGAGCTTTCCACTCATTCAGCAGCCCCCATTGGACACTGTGTGTCAAGGACTGGTCCAAGTCCATGAGGCCAGGGAGACAAGCAGGCCTGTGGTCATCACCATGGGAGCAGCTGCTGAAGCCCCATGTCTGGGTGGGCTCCGTTCATAGAGTCACACGGCTCCATGCATGACTCTTCTCTGGGCCTTCAGCCCCTCCGAGTCCTGCCCAGGAATAGGGCTTGGACCCCGGAAGGCGTTGGTGGAGTCAGATGCTGGTACCTAGTGACCAGGTGGCATCTTGCTGAGCGTTAGCGTGTGTGTCCCATCTGGCTTTGTAACCTCGGGTGAGCGGCCGTTGGCTTCTCTGCCACGTGACCCAGATGGCACAGTGGTCTCCAGTCTGGTGGGTTGAAGCCAGTCACGTTTTCCTTTAACCCAAACCTTGGTCCTCTGAGCCCCTTCTCTCTCAAAGCCCCTTATCTGGCCCCTGAGGAGGGCTTCTGGGTCTGCCAGGCTGCTCTTGGCCTCCACCGATTCTGGTCAGCTTGGGATGTGGCAGCATTACGAGAGGTTGTCCTGTGGGCGGGGGGTTATCTAGGTTTATCACTCAGCATTTCATCTAAGTCTGAACGCAACCCTGCTGAGCCGGAACTGCCCCCCTCAGTGGCTTGTGAGGCCAGTTTGTGGGGACCCTGCCAGGCCCTTCCTCCTGTCCTCTGGGACATCACCTGGCTCTGCCATCCCCTCCCCTCCCCTCATTTGTATCATGGTGATGTGTCAGAGCATGCCAAGGTAGGTCTGTTTTAAAGCCCATTGTAAGATGTCCCTGTAGAATCTGACACAGGGGAGACCTGAGCTGATTATTTCAAAACTGGTAACCTCCTGCTGAGCAGAAAAGTGGGGTCCCCGTCAGCCATGTTCCTGTGCGTCGGCTCTGCAGTAAAGCTCGTTCACCCGACTCCCCTGCCCGGCTGTGAGGGGTAGGACATGTGGGGGGCTGGGGGCTGTGCACCTGTGTGGTTGGGGGTGTGTGGGGTGTGTGTATGTGTGGGAGTGGGGGTGTGGTGTGGGCATGGGTGAGCCCGGGGTATGTGTATGTGGGGATGTGTGGGTGTGATATGTATGGGGTATAGGGTGTGTATAGGGGTGAAGTGTATGACTGGTGTGTGTGTGTGTGAGGTAGAAGGTGTCAGGGTGTAGGGTATATGTGTGTGGTGTGGTGTGTATGCGTGCTGGGTGTTGTGGGGACATGGGGATGGGGGGTGGGATATAGGGTGTGTATAGGGGTGGGGTGTATGTGGGGTGGTGAGGTTTGTATGTGTGGGGTGAGGTGTATATGCGTGGGGTGTGGGGACATGGGATGTGGGAATGTGGGGGGATATAGGGTGTGTATAGCGGTGGGGTGTATGTAGGGGTGAAGTGTATATGTGTGGGGTGTGGAGTATATGTGTGTTGGGTGGTGTGGGGACATGGGGGTTTATGTGGGGGTGTGGGGAGATATAGGGTGTGCATAGGGGTGGGGTTTATGTGGGGTGGTGAGGTTTGTATGTGTGAGGTATGGGGACATGGGGGTGTGGAGATGTGGGGGGATATAGAGTGTATATGGGGGTGAGGTGTATATGTGTGGGTTGTGGGGACATGGGGGTGTGGGGATGTGGGGGATATAGGGTGTGTATAAGGGTGTGGTGTATGGGGGGGTG